CAACATTCTAGTAAACTTAATTATTCCCCTGTGGTTAATCCAAAACCTTCAGAGGTATTGTAAAATAAATACCTTGTCCCCATTTAAAACGATTATAAATGGCCATAAATGCTCAGAATAATTAGTGGGAAAACTGAAATGGCACAATTATAGGTTAATCTTCATTAAAACATTTTCCACTACGTTCTAACAATATAAAACATAAAAATATTGGACTGGAGAAAACAATAAAAACTTTTATGACAAAGAATTTAAACGAAGCTATTCCTATGCAATACTTGTCCTTTGGATTATCCCATAATTTTGAGGATTACAATAAAAGTTCAAAATCCCGTAATGTACGTCCATTATTGATTATCGTACAACATTTTTATTTTCCTACTTAGATTTCGAAAAATTAACTTCCATTAGTAACTTTATAAATATACATGGCCTATTTTAGTAGGCACTGAACTCAATAAAAAATATGGAAGCCACGATCGATGAAATGAATCCAGGGTTGTTTTTTTCATGTGCTATGGATTTGGCTGGATTTTTATTTAAGTTTACTGAGCTATCCAAAATGTATGTTATACTACTATCATTTTATACTGAATCATGTAATAAGTAGGTTGAGTTATTTCAGAACTATGGCAATCGCCAACGAGTATTAAAATATTACTCATAAATATATCTTACGGAAAAATAGTTATACACGGAACAGAATAGACTAATGGTATATAAATATTAACACGTCTCAAAAATAAAAATGTTCTCCCAAAAGAAACTTTTTAGCTTACCCATCTGTATCTTAGTGACTGTTGTTTTCACAAACAGACTGATACTTGTTAAGACCAATCTTAGCAAACCTTTGTGAGCGTAAATCAAGTGAATAAGGTCTGATATTTGAGATAAAATAGAAATGTTTTCACTTAAATTTACCAAAATATCTATTAACAGCTAATAATCACTGTATAAAAATATCATTCAAACAGTTTACAAAAATTTCCAACCATAGCAGTGTCAAATGTAATCCGTTAAACAAATTTACTAAGGCTGCATTCTTATAGCAACAAGTTATTCAATAGTGATTTTCCTCAAGCTTCAACCTGAATGTGCTGTCAACAATCTTGATGCATGACATTAATCTACAATGTATTATACCGTGAACTGGATTGTGAAAATAGAATATTTTAATAATGTAATTCATGGGTCGATACAAGCTAGACCATCATTGAAAACCTGGAAGCAGTGTGCTGCCGTTTCGTCCAAGCATGAGACTCCTCAGCAGTGCTCATCCACGATCCCCGCGCTCGAACCCCTCATGCAGGATCGTGGGGTCGCACTGCTGAAGAGTCCCATACTAGGACGAAACGGTCGTCCAGTGCTTCCAGGTTTTCAATGATGGTCTAGCTTACATCGACTCATGAATCCAACTATTAAAATCACTACAATCTCCACAAACCTCCACTCTAAAAATGAAATATCACTGAAACTCAGATAGAAATTGCTCATTTTTAATCTGAAGTGTTATAGATTGTCAACATAACATCAAACAACCTTGTTCGTCGGTTCTACAATCTGCTTAATTGTTTAAACTACTTCCGAAATGTAAGATTGTCTTAGCATTCGCAATTGCATTAACTACCTTCCTAACAAGCTATCCACGAATCTTAATTATCTATAGCGTGGATCAGTTAGTGTTTTTCAAAAGCCAAAAATCACGTTTGGGAAGGCTTTCTTTTAATATACTATACTATAATTTAGCTTATTGAAATGAGTTAATTTATTTTAACCTTTATATCAATGATTTTTTATTATATTCATGACATGACAAATTGTACTGTCATTATAAAATACATTTACCATATCATCTGTCTTGTCATATTCATGTAAACCTAGATGGTTTAGAAAGTCCAATAAAAAACTTTTGTTAGTTGTTTGAAAAGAAAAGTTTTCTTAAAAGTCCACTTCATTATTATTCTGAAGCGTCTTCACGTTTTAATAGGTTCCGACAGTTCTGACGTCATATTAAAAATTTATGTTTTGGTCTTGTGTTTATTTTTACTAATTAATTTGTACTTTTTCAACGGTAATTAGTTATTATTGTCCACCGACAATGTTCAACAGTTAATATTCAACTATCAGTATGACCTTCACGTTTGTTAAGTGAACAGTCGTCTATCATACTGAACCGTAAATTATTTTCAGTCTCCTATCCTTCTCTAACATCCTGATCATTGCACAACCTTCTTTTGATATTTGAAACCTCGGATCACTCTATGATGTAATCTCTCCTATTTATATACTCATATATTCATAAAAAACTGCTGTCTTCGATTTCACAGTAAGTTCTGTTTTCACTTCTTCCTACAACGTTTTTCGTGACTCAGCTAATTTAGTTTAAGAATCCATTTCATACTATAGTACAGATACACCAATTATAATGATGGTAACTCAATGGTACATACAGTACACATTCGAATGAAAAGTTATTAAAATAGGACAGTGTTTTTCACTTTATGACATAAAGAATTTTACAGAAAAAGTGGCAGAGCGATTAATGTACATTAGAAAGGTCTATTTATTAGTTGTGTGATTACATCACGTTGCATCATAAAAAACAATTTGGCTTCACAATATTTGATCGACTTATTGTAAATTCACAGTTCTGGTAAAGTTTGGTTATTCAAGTTGAAAAGTATTTAAAAACCCAATCACTTTCCGATCATGGAAACGGTGATGAATAATACGATAGTATCTTTTAAAAGCTCCAAATGGAGGTTACACATTAAAATTATAGATATGAAGAAAATTCCTATCGAGGCAATGAAATCTATTATGGAACTGCTACAGAATTATGAAGTAAAAGTGTTTGTTACGTGGTCGTAAACAGAATAAATTCCTTTACAGAAAAAGAATTCTGACTCCTCACACAAAATGATGCATACGTAGCCCTTTAGTTTTAAAGTCATTTTACCAATTTAGGTGTTTAATGAACACTGATTATTCTTTTCAGTATTTATTGTAGTTGATAATCCACTGAAAAGTTTGAGTTCAGACTACATTGTTAATTGCAAGACGTATATTGAATGCGGTGCTATTTCTTCAACATACTTGTCAGTGAGATAAAACCACTGATATTTTACAGATTAGTCCCATTTTTTTCTTAAGTTGGTTATTAACGTGTGTTAGTTGGATGTGTTAGTGTATTTTCGTAACAGTTCTTTTATTAACCAGAGATATGAAATCTTGAATAATAGATTTACTAATCGGTTAGGTTTTTTCTATAGAATGTAATCGAATAGTTTACCGAAATCTGTGCTAATTGATTTAAACTGTCATGTTAAATATACATGATTACAAAGTAGGAAGTGGAAATCTGACCTAGTGATTAGTTAACTCATATAAATGCTGCAGTATTCAAAAACCAGAAAGTTAACAGGAAGAAATCATTGATTTTTGTTACTTGTAGCCGTTAGTTCTCAGTTTATTCCTTCAAGGAAATAATTTTTATATATTTTTAAAAATGTCATAGGGTTAATACAAAATTGAGACGTCTGACAGTCCGTAGTAAATTACTGAAACCAATTAATATGAACTCTTCAAATGGTAAGTATTGGCATAAATACCAATGTCAGTTTAAGAAAGAATGTAGATTTAGCTTATTTATGCTGGTTTTAGTTGACTGATGTTAGTTAGAAAGACACCTAAAACCAAGGCTTGTACCCCAGTGTTTAGAATCTCTTAACGTACGCATAAATTTTTCAGTCTTAAAACCCTATACATCCCATTCGCACTACATTCTTTGTACGTGTCTTAGTCAAGTACTTATTCAATCGTGGTCAGTGCTTTCGATTACAAAATGAATATGATGAATACCAGGATTGAACAAATTAAGATTATTGCTTTTTCCACTAATTAATTTGATACGTTGGATACGCTTTTTTCACAGAACAACGTTCAATACAATATACAGTCATCAAATCAAACATAAATCTGATCAAAATAATGTTAATATAAGCAAAAGCACCATTAAAATCTCTGTGAGTTAATGCGTCAATAATTCACAGTTATGATAGTGGGATATCCAGATTACTATGAACTTCATATGTAACATTAATTTTTGTTAAAAATGAATAGCGTATTGACAGTTTGTTTGGCAAATTTACTGTCCAACATAAACTTAGGATTTAGGAACATATTGATGTGCTTCAAAGAAAACTATTACATTGAAATTTATGAAGTGAATCAGGTGTCTTATAACTAAGTTTCGGTTGAACGGCTGGCTATTTACTCATACATTTTGACTGAAAGTATGTTTCATTAGTAAACATATACTTTATAAAATCATGCATTTAAAATCTTGAGACTAATGTTTTATATTTTGAAATTCTGGAGCTGTTGAAGATAAACTGAGTGTCTCCTTGAAAATCAGAAGGAGCTTTCGATCTTGTTAGGAAAACATTTGTTGTACAACTGAGATTTTTACGAACTCAATTACAAAATGGCTTATTGATAATTCTAGGAAAATTGTAAACTATTCAACTTCATAGTGTTTTAAACGGTAAACCAGTCTCTTTAGCACTTCATCTCTGTTTATTGTCACAAATGACCTCACTATTCCAGTAACTTTAAATATAATACGATCAGTACATATTAGAAAATCTGATTGTTCTGATAGGAAAGATTACAGCCAATCGTTGAAAAACACCGACGAAACCAATCTAATCAGCTATCTTTTTGAAACAATGTTTTATATATAAATAATGCCTACAAACTATGTTTTAGTAAATTAGAAACAAAATCATATCACCAAGCTTATAATTTATGCATCTAAATATATCTGTTTTTCGGAGGTATAGCTACGTATAACTGTTATTGTTGCGTTAAATATTGTACGAAATAATTAGCAATCCGGTTGATTGAAGCTCCTAGATTTTGCATACGATAATATATTAATCGTCATAGTAACTAATACTTTTTAAATATTCTATGAAAGGAAAATAAACTTGACCTACCTCATGATTTGATTCGGGAAATATTCAAAAAATATATATTTACAGAAAATCACTTTAAAATTAAAATTTAGAGGTTTTACATTGGAATTCCCCTTTTAAAAAATCTGGTAATGTTGTAACGAATTAGGTAGCTTGTTTACTTGAATAGTTTTAGACCAATAGTAGTTTTCCTTTCATTATGTTTTTTTCGTGGTTTATTCTGAAAAAATACATAGCATTCCGTGATTAACAGTTAGAACAAAGATTTGTGTGATTGGACTATGTGAATAATGTCATAACGAATGAGCTGAATAGAGTCATTTTGTTTTTCGTTTGAAAATTGACTTCAGTGTTAACAAATACCTTACACTGTTTTGAAAAAGACATTCAGTGATTTGTACTTTCCAAGCAATAGGGCTTATTTTTCCTTCTAATTCATATAAATGTGATACAACATGAAATTTTGCTTTGTTTCAAGTTGCACTTTTCAACCCAATAGGTTGAGTTTGCGTGCGAGACTGAAGGTGCTAGGTTTGAATTCCGCGAGCGGGATCGTAGATGCGCACTGCTGAGGAGTCCTACAATAGGACGAAACGGCCGTTCAGTGCTTCCAGGTTTCCAACAGTGGTCTAAAATCAACCGGTTCATGATCTCAATCAAAAACTTAGTAATCTCCACAACCTCTATACTGATAAAGTTCAATATCTCTTTGAATTAAAGTGATTATGTAATCCATGTAATTTTCCTAAATGTGTAATAATCTAAGATAATAAATACTTTTCAAAAATGTTGAACAAAATAACACTTATTTTTCACAAGTGAATATAGATAAAACAACTAATTATTTGTAAATTCAGCTATTTAAATAAACAATAATATCGGTTTGCATTTGGATCTTATTGTCACATATCTAGTTGAAACCTGGAGTACCTTATTTTGATATAGTTAAACAAGCTATTTGTTTGTCGGGAAATAAAAAATCAAATATTTTTGTGTGGCTTTTTAGCAGATTTATTCCGCAAAATGACCAGTAAACTTGGGTTTGTGAATCAGAGAAAGTTTGTGTCTATCGACGACAAGTGACTTTGTAGTGTACGGTGTCATTATATACCTAACTTTTAATTTACATGATTCTAATGTACTTCATTATCTGAAAAAAATATCATTTTACCATAAATATGAACAAGTCAAGTTTCCAAACTGTTTTGTCAGAGAATTCGATACTTTTCAGAAATATTTATCTGAATCCTAAAATTGAGAAAATTAAGAAAATGACCTTCAATAGTCTTAGCAATAGGGTGTTAATATATACAGTAATCATTGTTAGATTTTAGGGATCAAACATATTTGAATGAATGGTTCATGAACGGACACACACATATTAAAAATGAAATTTGGGATTTATTGCATATTATGACTTGGCAAGTTCACTTTAGTCTAAATTAAAATGCTTCATAAAAAATGTATCATTCATCACTATTGAACAATATCTCAAAGATTGACTTTTATTAAAATAATACGGGAAAAGCTGCAGTGCTTTATAATTGTGCAAATCTAAGATAGTTACTTCTAAAAATATATGTACCACATATATATAAGTGTAGGAGCTCCTTTCATACGGATATCGGAAAGAATGGCACTAACGATTGACTTACTGGCCTCTTCTTAATTATTTCCTACCTATATGTGAACACATAAAACTGGACTATTATTTTTATTACTATAATGACAGTAGTCACAATGCAGTATTTCTCCTATTGTTTTCATACGACTTTAATCTATTGATAGGAACTCATCAGAAAGGGTGTTCTTTTCCTACAACCTCTTATACATTCTATAAACTTTGGTAACAACCCATTTGTAAGTATTTTATATATATCGACATAACTTTCACCATTATCAACACAAATTATTTAAACCATGGCTTTAACATGTAACCAGCAATAGGCGTAACATAATATTTGCAAATGTATAATTCCTGAGACTAAAGGAAACGTTGTTGGAGATAACTATTCGATCAAATATTAACTGTTTTTGGGATAACTGATGATGAGTATCGGGCTACGAAAACATTTATGTGATCCAAATAACTTGAAGTCGTTTGAAAACAACTAGAAAAACATCATTACATTTTTCTTAGATGCCCAAGGAAAATTATATAACTGAAAAATTTTAATATTCAGATTATTAATCATTATTATTTATAACAAGCCAACTAGAAACCATGCCAATTTCGGAGAAACACAAAGATTTACTAGTTTATCAGGCGATTATTTCAAGCAGCTCCTATCATTCGGAAATAAAATTGAGAAATTCTGAATTTACGAAAAAATACTTTTTATAGTACGAGAACAACTCTGAATGCAATAACATACATTGTAAGTCGCCCGTTCTCATAACGCATATTAGACATCTCCAAAACTTCGAATTTGCAATCCGATTTCAAAAATCAGGATATTCCAACAATAAGTTACCGATTGTTTTTGTACATGTTAAATATATAAAATTGTAGACACAAACTAACTCAAATAAACTTTAGTTCTAGTAAGAATCTAATAACAAATTAGTTAACAATTGCTAGTTAATAAAATCTACGGATGTTTAAATTATTAAAATGATATCCGATTTAAAATAGACACAAAATGAAATAAGTTACCTTTTAAAACTTAATCAAAGTAATTGAGAAATAGGTATAAGTATCAGAAGGGGTTTTCTGGACATTGTAGTAATTTCAACAGTTGAGATCATGAATCAATTGAAGCTAGACCACCATGAAAAACCCGGATGCACTGGACGGCCATTTCGTACTATTGTGGGACTCCTCAGCAGTGCGCATTCACGAGCCTCCTCTGCGGGATTCGAACCCAAGACCTATCAGCCTCGCGCCAGGCGCTTAACCAACTAGACCACTGAGTCGGCATTCAACGGTGTTAGTGTATAACTTCAACCAATCCACGAAATTGAGCGACACATTCACCATTGTCATCAGTGAGTTACTACCTCACAACTGACCCGCTTGAAGTCCACTGGTCACTGCTTCTCAATAGAACTCCAGGATATCCTTCTTCAAGCCAGTCACTAGTGAGCATATGTTAATTGGTACCAGAAGCGGTTTTGTGGAGATTGTAGTAATTTCAACAGTTGAGATCATGAACCAATTGGAAAAATGGATCATCAAATTACCAGTGAAACATTGAGTAACATAATAATATTGCTGGAGTACCATTTTAATGTACATTTAATCATTAATCTTAAAAATATAACATTTTTGAATCTGTAAATCGAGGGTCTGTTGACTTCTTTCGAATTGTGCGTAAGCGATAACAAAATTTCCTATAAATCCCCCCTTGATTTCATACTACCCGACAAATGGTGGATCAGGAGTGTTTACGATGTTGAGTTCTATGAAGATTTCGGGAGTGTACCACAAAGCATTAATAGTTGACATGACAGTGATATGACTAGTCAGTGTTTGCCGCTTTTAGGTGACAAATTTTAGAATATTAGCTTTTTATGAGACTATTAACATAGCCCAATCGTAGTTCTTGTTAATCACCATAAATACAACAAATATAATTTTTAAAAAAGAACGAACGGAGCGGAGGAATTTCTCAGTAAGGGAAATACAAAGATTGGGTTAATAGGAAAAGGCATTTTCTGTAGACAAAGTTAGGATCGGATTTTAAAATATAAGCTCAGAGAATTTCTTCCTTAAGTAAACGATTAATACTTTGCGCTCAGAATGTGCTAGAGTGGTTTTAGATAACTTTCAAGTGTAAATGTCCCAACGGATCTGGGTGAATTCCATGGTCCATATGTGAATACTTGAACGATGTAAGTGCATCAAGAGAACAAGACTAAAGATTTTTCTCCAATATTTATAATTTTGACTGACACAAATCCGTTTCACCACATATTGAAATGAGAGCTACCACAACAATACCCAATGAACTCCTTCATGAACCACAGAAATCCATAATTGAAAGCGAAATTACAATGATGATTAATAATTTTTTGAGTTTTAAGTGTTGGAAAACACCTAGTTACAGTCGAACATTCGGCTCAACAATTACATGATGGAGTTCCTTTGAAATATTTCCTATGCAACACAACTCACTCGTCCTGATAACTGTTATTAAACAACTCTATGAAAAACGAAGTGACATAGTAGAATTTAGCAGAGCGACCATCAAACGTCTCTAATCTTAATTTTTTGAGCCAGCTCTTTTGAAATTCATTGACAACTGAACCTATAGCAATTCACCAGTTCAACCCTAATCTCTGAGTACAAAAGAGTCATATTCACTCCCTTAGCTTTAACACCCTTCCCAATTTTATAATTCGTGAGTGCCAATTAATATCGTATTCTCCACCTTTTTCTTGGTAAAGTAGATAGCTATCCTTCATATTTTTCCTAATTAACTATTATTTCTGAATACCACTTCTGAGACTAACTTGTGGTGCGTGCTACTTATATTGATATAAGTAGTATATAACGTGAGTCAAAAGAACGTAATGTCTGGCAGCAGAAGATGGAGAAGATCAAGAAAAGAAGAGCGAGAAAACAATGGAATTTGTTAGAAACTGCATGAGCAATGAAATGCGAGACAATGGATTGATGTTTGCAACAGCAACAGCCCGGTTTGATATGATAGAAGGATATTTTGCAAGTTAACGATTTACTATATGGTTTTTCTATTTTACCAAGTAATTCTGTAATTTGTCCTAAATACAATTTGGCTGTCCTCACCCGTGTTCTTGTTCACTACATTTGGTGTCGCTGCCTCCACTAAGGATGAAGATTCCATGGCTGAAGGAGTTTGAGGCCGTGGCGGAGCTGGTGGGAGTGAAGGAGCCGAAGGCGAAGTTGGTGGTGCTGGTGAACGCAGCGCAACCGATGGATATCAGTGAACTGGCGAAGGTGACTCGTCAGCTGATGACGCGAACAGTAGCTCCGGTCGGGTGCGGAAAGCAGGAGATGAGTAATGTCGAGAAGAAGATTGAGGAGCTGGAGCGCGAGATTGCA